TATATATATGTATATATATATATATATATATAGAACCTTGATTAATTAGGGAGGTCCACCAATAATGAATACTTGGGCCCAGCCCACTAAGTTTCCACATGCATGATTTGTTGGACCAAAGAAAAAATGTCCGATGTGTGAAACTCGACTAACATTATTTTAAAAAAGGAGGGCCCACAATACCGACATTCCAACGAACTCAACTAACAGCCAAGAAATTAAAATGTAAGCATATCAACAGAAAATCCAACACTCCCGCATCAACAAAATGCAGTTTACACAATAACCAAATCAATTCCCTATTTCTATTACTGATATTATTTTTACAATGGCTGGAAATTCTTCCTATCCCTATATTTATAATAATATAAGCCTGTAAAAAAATATAAACAAATTAACAAAAAAAATACGAAATAAAAGAAAGAGATGGAGAATTGAAGATGTTTCTCTCCCTTCTCCTTTGCCCTGTTGATATCTGCACCGGGTATTCCTAATTGCCAAAATATAGCACAAGACCCCCTTGCACATCTCGTTCATGATCTCCCGGACCAACGAGATTCCGTGAATAATAATAAAGCCACCCAAAATTTATAAAGCAAAGTGAAATTTGGAAAGAGTTTTCCTTGTAAATGTCACTTAACTGCTATTTGCTCCAAAAACAATAGTTCCTGTAACAACAAAACTTAAACGTCAGAATTCTTTTTCAAGCAAATGCTTTTGTAGTTTTGTTTTGTCAACTATTACACAGAAGTTATATATGTAACTCACCTAGTGATGGCATGAGAAGAGACAAGACAACAATCCCAACAACCTTGAGCGGCACACCAATTTTGAGCATGTCTTTAATTTCTATGTGTCCAGTGGCAAATCCAACTACATTTGATGGTGTTGAAGTTGGAAGCCAAAAGGCAAACTCGGTTGCAATTCCTCCAGGAACCATAAGAAGAAGAGGGTGCACGTGCATAGTTCTGGCTATGTGATACAGAAGTGGTACAAGAAGGGTGGCAGTAGCATCATTGGAGGTGATGAACTCAGTGATAATGCTGCATATTAGACTAACAGCAGGAACAATGAGCAGGTATGGGGCACCTTCCAAGAAATCTAAGGCTCTTGATAGCACATCTGCAAGGCCACTCGATTGTACTCCATCAGCAATGGCAAAACCAGCTCCTAGGAGCAGAATGAGGTTCCAAGGTAATTTTTTGCAGTCATTCCAGCTCATTAGTTTCTCCCCCTCTTGCTTCATGTTTGGGATTATGAACAATAAAACAGCCACCATAACCTACATTAATATTGATTCACATTGGTTATGTTTCATTAATTCGAGTCTCCAATTTTTGGTGCGTAATGAGTCATATATATCTAAAGTAGACATGCACAATACTTACACTGACACTTCCATCACCAACAAGGCCATGGAATAATGATCCCCATCCAGGAATGTCATCTGTGATTCTTCTTGTCATCCACAGCACGATCAGCAACTGCATTCACCATTTAGCTTTAATCAATGTCTTAAATGTCTAATTTAAAACACAATAAGTTTCTCCATGGTTGGATATGAAAATTTAAAACGTGTAATTAACGCATACATACCCCAAACACAGACAACACCATCTTCTCAGCAAAAGCCATGGGACCTGCAAACAACCATAAAAGAATTAATTACAACTGCCTTAACTTTTTGGAGCACAGGACAAGTATTATTTTATTAAAACTGTAGCTAGTTTATAATAATAAAAAATAAAACAGTAAAAAAAAAAGTGATACATGTCGATAATGAGCATTGTTAAGTTGAAGTGAGATTCTTCCATGTGATATGTAGATAACCCCAAATATGTCCATTATTAATTTATTATGCTTCCTGTCCGCTTCAAGCGAGGCTAGCCAGTAGCCACGAAGACCACTCCTTTTGAATTGGACAACTACATTGCAACTTGCAAGTCTAAGAGAAATACTACTTGGCGTGATTTCCGTCAAACTTTTTGTTTACTTTTATTCTTTAATTAATTTTAAATGCATCTACCTTTTTTCCTATGGAGTTCGTGCAGCAATTTTTTTAACAATGCTCGTGTGAAAATATTGAAGTCGAATATGAACGTGTATTTGGAAATACAGCAGTGAAGTAAAAAATTAAGTTCAATATATATATTAGTTTTAAATAAAACGTGGAAAATCAACTCATCACCCTATAAGGCTATAACCAAACACGCTATACACGTGTTAAACTTCACTTGCGTCGCTAATGTTTTTCCTATTTAATTTTGCTTACTTGCGGTCACGGATAACTCTGAAAAACCAGACTAATAATAATCCTCTTTAAAGTTTGATAAAAAAAAATTAAATGTGATATTTGAATTATTAAAAATGAGTGAGAATATTATTTATTTTGTATTGGAGCAATGGAAATGGGTGGATTGAGTTAGACATGCGTCCTAGGTGGCAGATGAGCACAAGAGGTTGAGAATGTAGCGCTGAAAAATTGACTAAGATGCAGCCCCTAATGTAAGAGAGAGAAAACAAAAGAGAAAACGACAAAAGAAGAAAAGAGGCGGAAGCTTGGGAAGGGTTTTTCTGCGTGAAATAGAATGGAGTTGAAGTGAGAAAGTTACCAAGCGCTTCGAGGTCCCTTTTCAAGTGAGTCTTGTCCAAGTAAGCAGACAAAGCACGAGCAGAGCCTTTGGGCACGTAGAGGAGGCAAAGTATGGACCAAAAGCAAATGAGGATGAGAACCGCCACAGGGAAACCCCAGAAGAACCACGTGTTGAAGCTGATTGGCTTTGCCTCAGGGAAGAGGCTCTTCCACATCCCAATTATTATCAGGTTCACGCCGGTTCCCGTCAGAGTGCTTATTCCCCCAATCGGCGTTGCGTACACCACCGTCAGAATCACCGCCCGGCAGAACTTGTTTATCGCCTCCGACTGCTCGTGCGCCGCCGGCAGCCGCTGCCCGATCCCCGTCGCCACCGGCATCATCATCACCGCCGTTGCCACGTTGTGCAGCCACATGCTCACGAAGAATATCGTGGCGCATAGCCCCAATAGTAGCAGCGCTGGATTCACCGGGTCGCCACAAAACAGCAATGTTACCTGTTGGACCCACGTCACGTTCACAAATCATTAATCATTAATCATATCATCCTAAAAAAACACAAAGGGAACGCTGCCACGTTTTCCACCACCAAAATTTACTAGTATTTTAAACTTAATATATTCACACTTGTTAATACAAATTTTTAATATGTTAATTGAAAAACAACATAATAGACACCTACAAAATTAGTAGATGGCTCAACACACATATAATCAAGTTTGAAGAGGAGGGACTGACATTCAAGGCCAATCTGCGATGGACGTTGTAGCGTTCGACGGCGAGAGCGAGAATGAAGCTTCCCAGAACGAGCGTGATGACGTCATCCATGTAAGAGTGGGCGACGCTATCAGCTGAAGCGATCCCGAAGAGAGGGAAGAGGAACAAGGGGCACATGGAGGTAACGGGAAGTGGCACGGCCTGGGTTACCCACCAAGCGAAAACCCAAGCAATGACGCCGAGCATTTTCTGGCTTGTGGGTGGAGCGTCCAGCTTCACGAAGAGGCATATGAAAATGGACAACAAAGGTCCCAGAATCACATAAAAGTTTTTCAGTGTGAGAAGGGATTTTAAGCTGAAGGAGACGCTGCTTTCAAACGGCTCGTGAACGGGGAGAAGTGGTGCCTTGGGGTCATCGGAAACATGGGATGGCTTGTGTTCTCCGATCATCTTGGAGAGAAGAAGGAATAACTGTCGTACCGAATGAGTTTACCCAGCAAGGTTTTGTTTGGCAGAAATGAAGGTTAAGCGTTGGGGCTTTTATTATTGAATTTTCAGAACTAGTGGGCAAATTTGCTTCCTTTTCTATAAATTATTTGGATGAGAATGAGATTAGTGTTACATTAAGGTTACTACCAGCTTTTGATTTGGATGCTTTCTAGTGACGTGGCTCATATTTTGTGAATCCTTTTCAAGTCAAAATTTATGAATCATGTGGTGGAACGTGGAAGAGCTTGGCTGTGCGATCCTTTATTGGGATATATGATTAAGGTGGGGTCCTTTGGCTCCAGCCTGCGTCGTCCATTGGATGCCATTTAATTCATCAATATGGTACCTACTAATACTATATACTTACTCTCAACATATGCATTAGAAGAAAAAAAAAAACAATCAAGAAATATTTATATAATAAATACAATTAATAATATTTTAGATAATATAACACATATTTTATATATATGTTCAAAGGGAGGATCAAATAATTGTCAAAATTAATACAAACAAGGTGTGACATTTAATTGACAAAATTAATATCACGTATGATGGATAATTTTACTTTTTAAACACGTAGTTATGGTTCAATATTTAGTCGATACATATGAAATTTTTTTTTTAAAAAGGTCAACCCCTTAAATAAATATTAGGTTTAACTGTCAATAAAGAATATCTCGGTTAAAAAAACAATTGTGAAATTAACGATACAGTGGAGAAAAGCCCAAACAAGGCATTGAAAAAGGTAAATGCTATGCAGGGTGATTTAAAACAAGAATACAAGATTATCATGAATTTAATTTATGTATGTACTGATTAATTTTGTCATGTGATGAAATGGAAAGAAATTTCCTTCCAAGTAGGTTTGGTACGTAGATGGCAATTTTTTCTTCGCAAAATAGGAAATCATTATCAAGTCATGGATACTTTCACGTGGTCACCTAATAATTTAGTGTATGTTTGGTTTCAATTTTGAAACTCAATTTCTTTGTCTCTCTCCATGTTCAAGTAGCAATTTAAAGAGAAGCTATTATTTTCTCCTTTCACTCAAACGTGAAAAATTACGTTTTGACGCTGTTCCAAACACACAGTTATACGGAATAGTGGATTTTGTTTTTTTTTTTTTTTTTTTTTAACAAAAAACTATAGAAAAAACCTACATATTGATTCATTGATTATTTGGCTTGCGATTTCCCGGAAAACGTACTTGAGTATGTTCATATTTGTCTGAACGTAAAAGGTTTTTTTATTGAATCATTTTTTTTAGTTTCTTTTTATATAAAAAAAAAAAACAATTCATGGCAAGTTTTTTGTCTCAACCTTTTGTGATATAAAGATATACAATCCCGAATGATCGTGTAGTGAATTGGTGAGCATGTGTGTATTGTATGGATTTCTTAAATTTAGTTGAAATTAAATATTTAAATTTATTAGAAATGCATGTATAATAATTAAACAAGAGGATATGACGATGAATTCGCATGGCTAATTCCAATCGTTATCCTTATTCAATCTGTCTTCAATTGAATTTTTCTGCTTCGTTGATTCGTTGATCTTGAATAATTATGACACTGTATAGATTTTATTTTAATGGTTGTCGCACAATTAAACTACCTGTTGAATTTGGTCAATAATAATAATAAAAATACGTGGTAATCTACTTGTTGAATTGAATGGTCCTGGTCAATCTTTCTGTTTGCGTCGGAACCCAACCCCAACCATGCACACCCATGTTTTATTACAAATCATCGATATATATCGACAACATTCAACCTTTAACAATATATATTAATACTTAACTAATCTAATTTACTTTATAGTTTATACTTATCCATAATTTGGTGTAAATATTTTATATTGAGACGTTTAATAGAATTGAATTATTTTACTACATCATTGTTTACATTGATTAATATATGTGGTGATTCGATGAATCCGTATCAAACATTCCAAATTAATCATGTACTAGTATATAAATTAAAGTAAAAACTCATAGAAAACAGCGATCATCATTGACATTTATTTATTTTGACAATGATGTGTGTATATATGTAGTTCACGCACAACCAAATTATCTATTTTTATTTTTTTACATATGTCATTGGCATTTATTTACACCTAACAAAAACTCATAAGGCACGTTTTATATGCATTATTTAATGAGGGAGACTCGCTAATAATACATACATGGGTCCACCATGTTTCTGTTATTCTATATAACCATGATTTGTTGGAAAAAGAAAAGGAGAATAAAAAAAAATGCATGATGTGGGAAACTGGACTGATCGAAGACGTGGCAGTGACAGGTGGCAGAGGTTGAACCATGAAAATGATCATTTTAAATTGGTGGTTGTCATGGTCGTTCTTGTGGGGATGAAAGGCACAAGAATGAACACCGTGAGATACATATTAGTACGTGCCTACCTAGTTGGAGATACGCTTGCATATCCAGAATCACGTTGAATATGCATATTTGGTTGGTTTCAACTAAAATTGATTCTCAATCTAAATCCAATTTTTACTACATGTAATTTCGAATTATCGATTTAATGTTGAGTTAAAAAGTTATGTTAAATTCCATCACAAACTTGCTTCTAGGAAGAAAAAAAAAATCGAAACACGTAATTTTAGAACAAGAAAAAGAATTCTACAAAATTTAAGATCATTCGAAATCAAATTTAAACATGTTCACCCAGATGGATGACGCCGGCAACTTGGAGACTCGATATGGTCAAGCAAGCACTCAAGCCGCCTATTATTAAATAGGAATTGTAAATACAAGGATTTGGACAGGATATTATAAAATTTGAGTATGTGTGTTGTCATTTTTCTGTATCTAATAGCTAAATAATCACGGATATTATTTGTTAATTATCTTTACAAAAATATGCATCATATTTTTTTTACACTTATTTAAGATAATTTTGTTTTTATGATTTTTATATTATATCTTATTTTATATTTTATAATTATTACAAAATTATTTAATTTTTTTTCATTATTTACTGACTATTATTTTGTTTTAATTAATTTTATATTTGGTTGTTTAAATACGGAGTGTCTTTTTTATGTTATATATATAATATAATATAAATTAAAAGAATTATGAACAAAATATATTCCTATATCATTTTAATTTTATATAAGCAGATTTTAGAAAATATATTCATATTTGTATTAAATTAAATATATACAGAATTTTTAATAGATATTAGTGTACGGGTAAGGGCGTTCGGCCACCACCCGGTCGGCTGAAAAGTGAAGCCACACCATTCCAAGGAAAGCATCCAAACATGATATGCAAAATAGCACTCAAAGAATAGGTGTGAAGAAGTCTCCATCCTATATTGACACCATACACAGGAACTATCCGAATTAATAAGAACATGTCGCTTAACAAGATTAAATTTTGAGGGGAATCTGTCTAACAATACCCTCCAGACAAAACAAGAGACCTTATAGGGCACCAAACG